CACTTTACTTACGGTCACTACCGCTCACTTGACTCGATTATCTGTCTCTATATCTCCCTATCTGCCATTATATATGCCGCTTTATTTGCGGGCTTATATACAAAAATAGAGGGCGTCTGGCAAACACTTGAGTTGCCAGGAGCAGTCATGATCCTTCTAGAAACTACCAGCGTCATGTGACTTCCGCTGTCGTAACAATATAACAATGATTTATGAAAACTACTGTCCTGTGTAGTCTTGTGCATACATGTTGTGGTCAGATTGTTGCATCTTTTTTATATGACATAATTGGGTATAGTTTTTGTTAACAGAGCTGTTGGTATGATCTGTCTAATGTTTTAACATCAAGATTTCAGCTCGTAAACACATATTGAACCATCAAATGTTGAAAAATACTGTAAGCACAGTTTATAAATTACCCCAGATGGTGTAATGGTAGCAAAATGTTAAAAACTAGCAAAAGATTATGTAGTGCTTTCTAGTAATTTTCGAACTCGGACAAAAATTATTTCACAAGTACAGCAAGGTAACATTGTAGCTCTTTTATGGCTTATTAAATCTATAAGTTATGATTACAGACAAAATAATGTAAAGTAGAAAAAAAATAACGTTACACTTAAGACCACTTGAAAAATGTTTTATATTCTTGACATAGTGTATTAGACCTATTGTGGTATTGATCCAAATTTTATATTTTTAACATTCTCAAGTTTGTTAAGTCTTCATGAAATGATGCCTTAAATTTGGGATATGGGTGTCATGTATAAAATTGTCTTACTAAGTACCATTAATTATTCAACCTTCAAGAAGGAAAATTTTCACAACTGTGCTATAAAAGCACAGATGCAAGAATACTGAGGTAATTGTTACATAATTATGTTTCAGTCAGTGACACCAGAAGAACACATGAAACTCAAGGTTGTTTCTCTTAATTTCAAGACATTTCCTAAAATGCCTCAAGCTGCTTTCAAAAAAACATTTTTTTCCTCAGCTTGTGCTCAACTACTTAATGAGAATGACTAGGATTTGGTTTTCATAGATCAGGAATGATGTTGTTAAGATGATCTTTATAAAATTTGCCCCTAGTGGTTCAGTAGTAAGTCAGATGGCTTATAAAATGGCTTATAGTGCAAAAAGGCAGGTTTCAATACCTGCAGTGGACAAAGCACATCCAGTGTGTAACTTTGTGCTTAACAACAAACAAATAAACAAACGTTACATAATTCAGAAAGTATTATCTTAATGAAGCAATGTGATGAAAAGTCCCTGTCTAAGAAAGGCTTACAATTTTCTTGATATAAACTAAAAGAAAACAATGTCCTCTGAATATGTCAAAACTAGTAGTAATGGTAATAAAGACAAGTGTAAAAAATAAAAAACAGAAAAGGGACAAAGAAACAAAGACAATGCAAAATGTCAATCAGAAGGACAGACAACGGAAATTACTCAAACAGGTGAAAAAAAAAATAAGTCCTTTTTTTTAAGAATGGTATAAAAATGACAAATTCCAAAATAAGCATTTTATTTTTTATTATCACATACATAATTGTTATGAATTAATAGTCTGTAAATATGCTATAGTTGCTTGATTTAGTTGTTATTGATACTGTTTTCCAAAATACTTTTTTTACTTTTTTACCTGTTTGTGTACTTTTCTTTGTCGTTTTTCCCAATGGACTCTTTTCCATTGCCTTTTTTTACTGTTATCTTTATTACCTACATATTGTGCTCTTTTCTTAATTACTAGAATATTGTCTACTTGTTGATTATGTTTTTGGTCACTGATGGAACAGTGCTGATACTACTTCTTTGTTAGGTGTAAATAGTACAGAAAGCAATATCAAGCTTCTGATAATAAATGTATTTTGCAGACAAGAAAAATCATGTGATCCACTGTTTGTTAACCTATACACTTTTGCAATCTATCACAAAATACCAGACAAAATTATAATATAATTTTTTCCAGGCATTATTTGGCTTATGAAAACTGTGTGAAGAATATTGTTCTCCATTGTAAGCCTAAGGCTCATCTGTACTTATCATCTTACCTCATTGATGATGCACAAAAGTTGTCTTGGACATGTTCAGATATGTACCATAAAACAAAGGACTTACCCAAGACAGAAAGTTTATCTGATCAGAGAGATGTAGAAGAAGGTAAATTTTTCTAGATTGAAAATTGATGTTATTGTATTACAATTTATAACTATCATTTCATGAAGAATTTAGATCTAATTTCAGTTTGCAAGTTTTCTTCTGTCATTGATTATTTTGCTCATTTGCTACTCATTTCAACACCACTCATTAAATGCATTAGTTTCACAGATACCAAGGGACATGCCCATAAAATTGTTTTTATAATGCTTAATTGGTTATAATCATTTTATTAATGTTGAGCATAGATGTATATAAAAAAAACAACAACATTAAAATTAATTATAAGCTTGACTAAAGCTTGTATTATATGCTATGCATCTTATGTATTGAATCGTTGTCAGAGAACACTAAACATCTATTTATAACTTATAAATATATATTCCTAAGTATCCACTACCAGTTGTAAAAAAAAAAATGCTACTAAACAATGTCTTAAGTAAAAGGCGTTAACAAAAAAGTTTAAAAATAAACGTATCTCTTGATGAACATGTCTAAAATGTATGTACAAGTGCAACACTTAAAAATGATATAAAGTATCGTATATATCCCTTACTATGTCATAATGATTCATGGCTAGACACTTAAAATGCTTGTATAAATAAACAAGACATAACTTCTTTCATATGTTTTTATATTCTACATAAGAAAATGAAATTACAAGCATTTGTGCATTTAAAACAAATGTTTTTAATGTACTTTTCTGCATATCTATTATGCAAATATCATGGAGTACCTGTTACGTATATTATTAGTAAGAGTAATAGTTTTAAAATGAATATTTTTTCTTTGGTAATAACTAGCAGTGTTTACCAGAATAACCTTTTTTTTTATAATAGAACTTTACAATTCAATTTATCACATAAATCCCTAATATGGACTTGTTTCTTCACATGTAGTATTACATTCCACATGACTTTTACAGTAGTAATATTTATAATTAAATATAAATGAATATGATAATTAGCATTGAAAACAGTGAAAAAATTTTGTTGTTGTTGTTGTTTAGCTAAGTTGCATTGAAATTTGTGTTACATAAGATTTGTTATAATTTAACTTCAGATAACTTTTTTATTTTTGGTAAAAATGTATATGAATTTTTTGTTTAGTTTCACATGTTATCAAGGGTGTCCAGTGTATATCTAAATTAAAAGGAGAATATGACATCTGCCGAGAAGAATTCAATAAGAAAATCAGTAATGATGAGACCTATTCATCAACTATTAAAATACAGAATTGTTGGTAAGTACTGGTTGGAAGAGAATTGTTGGTAAATACTAGGTGGAAGATAATTGTTGGTAAGTACTGGTTGGAAGATAATTGTTGGTAAGTACTGGTTGGAAGAGAATTGTTGGTAAATACTAGGTGGAAGATAATTGTTGGTAAGTACTGGTTGGAAGATAATTGTTGGTAAATACTAGGTGGAAGATAATTGTTGGTAAGTACTAGGTGGAAGATAATTGTTGGTAAGTACTGGTTGGAAGAGAATTGTTGGTAAGTATTATTGTGAAGAGAATGATTGATAAATACTTTTAAAAAATTTGTTGATCAGTGCCTATTACTTACATAGTTAATAAGAATAACATCTTTAAACTGAGTATTTTTTTCTTTGGTAAAAGATGGACCTTTTAAGTGAAATGTTCCTCTTTATTTTTTATAGTAAATTTCAAATTTATTTCTGGTAAATTTATTTATGCTTTAAAAAATCAAATTATCTTAATTTGAAATGATTTGTACTCAAGCTATACATAATTTGTATTATTGGACTTTGCATTAAATATTAGCATAAGTCATAAAATCAGTAAGCTAATCCCAGTCATTTCAAAATGAATTTGATTTTTTTTATTTCTATGAAGAAAAATGTGGGTCTTTCATAAAATATGTAATTTGTTTTTCTTTATTTTTTTATAAAACTACCTTGCATCAGTTTTTGAACTCAATCCATCAATAGATAACTTCAGATACAAAGAAAACAAATGGAAGTTTTCAAGGAGCTGTAAATATAAGTAATCTGTGTAAAAAATATCACAAAATTTCTAAAAACTAATAGTTTTTTTGCTGTAACTTGGTTTATTTCTTGATAAACAAATAGTACTGGTCTAGCAGACACAGTTTACAACACCACATAACAGGTTTAATTAGATATTTGGGGAGCTTACAATGTACAGTAAAGTTTTAAAATCTATATTCAGGTTTTTCCAACTAACACATTTATTTTAGTATTTATGCAATACAGTAAAAGAACCAGGTATGTTTGATAGTTAGTAGGCTGGACTGTGGATCAGAAGGTCCAAGGTTCAATGCATGATAAGCTGTTGAAAATGCTTCATAATTGCAGTTGTGGGAACTATACAACTGTGAACGACAATACTATTTGGTTAACAGTAGCCTCCAAGATGACAGGTGTTGCCAACTGGTTGCTGCTCCCTAACTGGTCAGCAATTCTAAATTACAAATGGCTTAGGAAAATACCAATGAGTATAAGAGTATATAGATAAAATATAACTTCATTGTCAGAATGTTAAGCTTTTCAGTAATGTAAAATGACATGATATGCAATTCTTTATAGTTTGTACAATAAAAGGCATTTATTGTGGGTGATAGCCAAAACTTGACTCACAGAGTCATGAAAGGATTATTAAATGTTTTTTTCTCACAGTAATATAGAACCTTATTTTTATATCTGGGCTTTGAATTTATATCCAGTATTAATTTAGAATATTATTCATAAAAAATGCTTGAGTTTCAGCATTTAACAGTTTTCCATCCATAGTTTTTCTAGCAAAATGTGTTTCATTTTAATCAAATATTTAGTTAGTAGTGACATTAAACATTAGTTTTACTATGTATTGTTTAATGGAGTAATAACAAAGTAAAATTTAGGTCTCTGACAGATGAAATTCAGAAACTGATGCTGTGCACACTTTAAAAAAGTACACTGACATCAATATTTTTCAGAATGAATATAATGAGGAGTTTCCAATAAATGTATCATTTAAACATTTCTAAAATATTCTTATTGTAAAGAATTGTTGAGATTACACATTAGTAGTTTTATGTATATTTGATCCATTATCTAATCTCTTGTTTCTTTCTGCTTCTGCTATTTCAGTGCCTTTATTGAATATGATGAATGTGTAAGTACTCTTGCCAAAAATAGATGTGATAAAACTGGACAATCAATTGCCAAAAGCATTATTGTCCAGGCAAAACTTTTGACAGGAGACAGCTGTAACAAATATGAAGATAAAAAAGTGTGTTCTGCGCTTACCAGTAAGTTATCTATGTTTACAACATGATGTTTCAGATCTTATTTTTCATACTTTCTTGTCTTTTCTCACCTGCATATATATTTATTATCAAAAAAATTTAATTTTCATTTAGAATTATTTTCAAGAACTCTTTTCAAGGTTTATGTAATGTTACTTCATGTGTAACAATCCTTTGGTTGTATGAATATACTACAAATCAACATAACCATTCTTGTAGAGATCTCTTGAAATTATTATATCAAAAAGCTTAAGAAAAGGTTTAAGTATCTAGTTTTTACTGTTTAATATAATCTTTATTATGTAAATAATATTATTATATAATCGTATATATTATTATATAATTATTATTATGTAAATAATATTATTATATAATATATAATCTTATATATTATTATATAATCTTTATTGAATGGTATTATTTTGCTCAATTAATTTTATTGGCCTATTTTATTTATGATAATATATAATTACAAGTGTTGAAAAACATTTTTTTTTACCATTTTTGTGTCCTAGTTGTTAAAAATGGTTTGTCAGAAACAATTTACACATACAAACACTTTAAAACTTCTCTTAGGAATTCTGGAAATGTCACAACCATAGCAGAATAATTCTAATTCACATTGTTTTGGAGATCTAAACATTTCATAAAGGAATATCTGGCCATTATGCTCACAAAGTTATTTACTTTGGTTCTTTCTCTCTGCACATGTAAATTTCTACCACACATTTCATTAGTGCACATTTTTTAGGGCAGTACAATACAATTGTATTAATATTAGACTTTTTATTTTAACTGTTCACAGGGGATTTCTTTCAGAATTGTTTCTGGAAAGAAAATATTTTATTTGGTGACTGATGTGGCAAAGAGCATTCCAGTACATGTAAAAACATGGTCTGGTTGTATTCCCCAAGATTTTTTTTACAAGTATGTCTAAAATGGTAGTTTTTTTAGGGGTGAGGCTTCCTCCTGCACTATGGAAAGAAAACCCCCATGTATACATAGTTAAATATTTATTAATGTAACTTAAAATGCCAGTATACAATACTCTGAACACTGCACCAAGTTACCAAGTGTTTTATATTATATTTGTAGGAGTTAACATCTCAGACCAAGGAAGAAACCCAAGTGAAGCTTCAGGTATTTCCAAATATCTTTCTTATCAGTAGAACACACACATCTCTCACTTGCTACTAAATCGTTTCTTCAAATAATAGAGTTGTTGTGATTTCCCACATACTTAAAATGAAAAGACATTTGACATCATTTGAATATGAATTAGTTTAATTTATTGTCAGACATTTAATGCAAAATTACTTTTTGAACCATAGAAGTTAGAAAAGTTATACATATAGGAGTAATTCTGCTCTTTACAAAGTTGCAAATATTAATTCTAGAATATTACAGATGTTCATTGTGATCTAATATATTTAACACTTTACTATTTCAAATTTCTTTTATTTGGTTATATTGTAATTGACATATCTCTTAGAATTTTAGCCCCACTCCTTGGTGGGTCAGTGGTAAGCTTATGGAATTACAACATTAAAATCCAGAGTTTGATTCCCCATGATGGACAGAGTGCAGGTAGCCCATTGTACAGCTTTGCACTAAAAACAGAAAACAGTATTGTTTGTATAGTGATCTGTTAGTATGGTTTAGAATTTTATACAGATAGTTACAAATCATTAGTGATCAGCTATTGGATATGTCATAATTTATTCAATATAAAGAAATTCTTTAACTCACTATAAATGAAAAAGAATTAAAAATGTTCAGTGTTAGTGTTTTGGCTGGTCAGTGAAAGTGTTTTTGCCCAAAATTTAGACTTTTTTTTTTTTACGTTACATAAATTTTACCTGGTTCAGTGTATTTCCTTATTTTATCAGTCCATTGTTATATTTGTTTGATAATTTATTCAGTAGATATTTTGTGTTGTAACTGAAAAATAATGGATTTGAGAACATTTGTAATTAAAATAGGTAGTTTCTTGTGACTTTGTAAATATATTTTAATTTTAGGATGTACTCTGTCTTTACCAAGTCAGAGAGACTCCAAAGCTCTTATTTTTTATTTTATTGTTAAGACTAGTGTCCAGAAACTAAAGAGCAAGACTTTTACAGATATTTCTTTTCTTTTTGCATGTGTGTTCTATTTTTACATTCTTGTATACTGTGATGTCCTTATATGTTTATATACACATATAATGTGTTGGAAACGTTTTCTTCTAACAAACTTAGTATAGATGTTTTTAAGTTTGGGCTTTTATTTTTTCTCAGGTTCATAAATCATTATTAAATATTCTTAATAATTAATTTTATTACTGCCAAAAAATTTATTGAGTACTTCATCACTCAAACACTGAATCAATTTTTACTTAACCTTTAAGTATTCGCTTAAACTTTAAATGTGCTTAAGTTCACTGTCCTGTTTCAAACCAATACAGATAAAGAAGAAAAATGTATCACAAAATTTCTGAAGAAATTATTCATTCCTTAATTTACAAGTAAAGTAACTAGTAAAAAAACATCTATTTGTAGACTTAATAGGTTGGGAACTATTATTTTTGGCTGTAGTCCACAGGGACTAGATATGAGTACTTAAAGATCAATTTCATTATCTTCCCACTGAATGATACCTTAGAAAACACAACTTGCCAGAATTAACCAGTGCTTTCACATTACAATATTTAAGGTTCTGTGCTATATTTAAGTCTCTGCATAGTACAATTAACATGGTTGAGGAAACTACATTTAACACTTTTATTTTAATAAGCAATTGTTACAGCTATACCTATTTGGAGGCAATTTAAGCTATTACATAATAATACTCTCAATGATTGTAATATACTAATGTTTTGGACCCCTAATCAATTTACTTTTATGTGAAAATAAATTTAAAGAGTTTTTTTTTGTATCAATCTGATTGTCTGTATGGTTGACATTCATAAATTTATCGTGTGATAAGAACTTTTTCCCTTATAAGAGTAAATGATGATAATGTTTTTTTAGTTGTGTATTACAAGTTTTGCCTACTGGTGACATTGTTGTATTGTTTAATTGACCAATCAGGTTTTCCAAAAGCTCAACAATAATGCCAGGTGTAGATTAAACGTAGTTGGTAATGTTATAGTAAGTTTTAAGAAGAAATTATTAGAACTTAAGTGTGATGGTTATAGCCTCTTATAGGTGATTCAGAAGAAAGTAATAAACACATCAAGAAAATCTTTGAGAGGAGTACAAAGTCCCTAAGTAGTTACTGAATTTAATAAATCAATTTTAACTTAAGTTACTGAAATTTATGCTAGCAAATTCTGTAAACAAGTTATGTTAACAAGAAAACTAAATGCTGATTATTTTTAAATTAAAGACCAGTCTTAATTATTCCAAACATAGCACCTCAGCAGTATCTGTAAATTGTTAGTTTAATTATTTAGATAATTCATAAATTATGTAATTTCAATACTTTTATTTTCTAGTCAAAACATTAACTTAAATAACTAAGTATGTAACAACATAAACAGCCTCTGGTGGCTCGTTGGTAAGCTTTAAGGCTTATAATGCTAAAAATTGGGGTTTCATACCAATAGTGAGCACAGTGAAGATAGCCCAATGTGTAGCTGGAAAACAAACGAAAATAAACATAAACAATAGTTTAGTTGTAGTGTAAATAGTTTTACAGAACGTACTAACTACTTAAAGTAGCCATTAATAATTTGAGTTTTTTGAAGCTGCAATTGTCTCTGTGAGAAACTAACACTTAGTTAAAAATGTGTTTAAGATACAAATCTTTCAAATTTCTGCCTAATCAGAACTAGTTGTGGGCAACTTTTATGTTAACCAAAGAATACATTAATTTTTTTCTTCATACAGTTAATTTGTTTGATAACTTCTATACATATGTACATTATTAAAATAAATATAACTTATCTGGAACCATAAGATCAACCTAAACCTGGAACCTAAAATCAAGAGTTGTGAACTAATTAATCATATTATGTATAATATCAGATGAGTATCCTTGTTAAAAGTATTTTCAGCCATAAACCAACAATAGCTCTTATAACATAGTCATCAAAGTGCTCAATTATACCCAATGCACAATTTGTTCTTCATGCCCATATCTTTACATGCTTTGTAAGTCTTATATTTGTGTGTGTTTTTGCATACTATATACATATATTTGTGTAATCTGTCAAGTTTATACTTGGTATGTGATTGTAGTTTTATTTTTGCATACATCATTTCTGAAACTGTAACTGTATTGTGGAATTGTAGTGATAAATTTTATAAAATTTAATTTTGAAAATTTATTATTTGTTATTGTCTCTAATAGAAAACTTTGAAGACTTTTATGTGTACATGTTGTGTTCTAGCATATTTAGTCTATGAGTGTTTAGGAGCTTTAGAAATATGCTCTTTAAGGAATTAAACTTCCTATTATCATCTAGCAAATGCCTGCCAGAAAATCTACTTGGCTAGTGTATGTGTCTATGAAACATTTTTCTGTTATGAAGAAGTAAATGGGCTACTATCTTTACTGTTAGTGATTGTACAGCATATTGTAATGAGGACAAGTCAGAACATATTTGGTTGATATTCATCAGTTTAACATGCACTAGTTACTGTGAAGCAGTTCAGTGAATTTGCTGCTAATAAAGTGAAAAAATCAGAAGTAAGGAACAGCTTCAGTTAAACAATTTTTTATATTTTTATTTAGTTTGTAAAACAAAGAATGCATGACTTCAGAAATTTTTATATTTTTATGTTTGGTCACTTTCTCAGGACAAATGTTGTCTAAAACATAAGACCCTAAAGGAATCTGTAATAATACTGTGTAACTGGTAGCATCTGATTCTGAGAACATATTGGAAAAAATGAAAAACTAGTGAAAATTATAAAGAAGAAAGCTTATATTACAAAAGAATGAAAAATTATTTATGCCATGCTTTAAGTGATTAATTTGTTTTATTGAAAGTTTGTAAAAGTTTCATCTTACATTTTGTCTTTCAATCAAGCTCACTTTCAAAGATGGGGAACTCCCCTCCCCCCAAAAAAAACCATATTCATTTACCTCACTAACTTGGAAGACAGCATTTTGAAGCATGCGTGTTTTCATTCAGATAATGGGTTTCAAAAATGTATTGAAACCTTGTGTTCTAGTCTAGTAAACTAGAAGTCAGTCTGAGATATGTTTCTCTACACTAGTGATTTTCCTTTATATATGTTCGGTGTAGATGTAATACGTTTTACAGTGAACTTTTGTTTAAAGTAGAATTGCTGTAATCCTTATGATTCATTAGCATGATGTAATGCCACTGTCAACTTTTGCTGTTCTTTTGAATTTATGATAATGGAGTTTGAAGTTCTGGGAAATTTGTTTTGTTGAAAATCTGAAGGAGAAATTAGCATTTATGTTTTTATTCATTATATAAATATAGTAAAATGGAGGAAGTATTTATTAAACAGTAAGTTCTATCTATAAGTTAAAATACTCTATGTTCATGAGCTAAATGACACTGTGTCCATGACAAAGCTACCAAATGCAATAGAATATAAAAGAATGATGATTTATCTGAAGTCATTTATTCTCATTGTAGTTACTAAAGATTTTTGGTACACCGCACTTTGTACTAAAAGCACATGGTAAGAAACTAATCTTGCATGCACACATGGCTGGCAATATCTAAATAGAAAAGGAAATTATACATGTAAGACTCATGTTGCTTGAAAACTAATCCATTTTGTCCTATTGTTCTACTTTATTTTGTTTCAAATTCTTTTGTCGAATTTTGTTTTGTAATTAAATGTTAAGCTGCTAACAGAATCTCAGTTTCTCATGTTTATATTATTATTTTTCTTACTTATTGTAAAACAAAAATTTAGGTTTGCTACTTGCTTTGAGAACTCATTTTTTGGTTCTTTAACACCCATGTTTTTAACCCCTTACACTGTTCCAGTGGGTTCTTCAGTTTCCAGCAAGTCCCGAAACTCCATAAAAAGTACTCAAAGACTTCCTACAACTGAAGTGGGTAACACAAGAATTATGTCTTTAAGCAAGCGTAAGTCATAAACATATTGACCTCTAATTTTTTAAAAACACTGGGGATTTGTTTTGCATCAAGACGCTGCATTTTCTTTCTTTCCTAAATGAGAAGAATTGCAACTAGTATTTCTACCATATTTCACATGTAGATTTGTAGACTTTAAACTGAGATAGCCATCAAATTTGCTGTCAGATATTTTATTTTATATTTATAGATTCATTGTAAAAAATTGTTTTTGCATGACTAGTAATAGAACATGGACAGTACTGTACAATCAAGAACAAAATGGAAGTTCCATTTTAGCATTCCAGAATTTTGTTTCATATAGAAAATTGACCAGTTTGTGCAGATTCAAACATATTGTCCAAGTTAATATCAAGTTATAAAACCATATGCCTTATTCTTGGAAATAAAAGTCAGTTCATCAGCTTCTCAATACTAATTACACAAATGTTGTGTTACTAAAATTGTTAAAATTTTACAGTTTGCTTCTAATAAACTTTATATTCTAAAATATTTTAAGTTCAGTAGCTCAGATCTTACGTATCATTAGATGAAAGTATGTAGTATTACGTAATTAATATACTAGCTTTATATAGGCCAAAAGAAGAAAGTTTTAGTTCTGCATTTTCAACTCGTATCAAACAAGTTTAAAAACTGTATTAATCAAAATCAAACACACCATATAAATGCTTAAATAAATGGCTCTGAAATCATATTAATTGAATATTTTTAAAACATGGGAAGCTGAGATAGATATTAATGTACCTAAAACACCGGTCCAACAGGTCATACAAGTTGTCCTTTTGGGCAAGCATCCATGAAATCTGGTTTGAGGTTTATAAGATAGAATTTTCTTTAAATTCTGGTTGGAATGAAATGTGTGTTTTTAATCATTAAATTTTCACTAGAATTTGGAGTGGTCTGCTTGTTTCTTGAAGGATATTAGAATATTGTGTTACTCTAGTTTTCTGAAAACTTGTAGCCAATTTTATGAGCCAGAGCACCTTCTTGTGAGGTTTTGTTTCTTGAACTAGTGTTGAATGAATACCAAAGGGCACTACACACTAGTCATCCCAGCTGTTGATGTATTGTGTTTTCAGTGAATCCTTGTGAAACCTGTTCTCTTCCTTGTGGAGTTAAGTCTGAAGTAGATGATTGTTTCTTTATTTTACATAGTTTATTCATCTTCGTTCTTTCCACTTTATAGAAGAGGGTTCCTGACCTTGTTCTTTGAAGTTTGGCCCACATTTACTGTGTTTTATTTCCCAAACATTTGACTATTGTTTGACACTTTTGTCCATATTCAGCAAAGGATGATATTTGTGGAATTCAGTTTTTATTTTTGTTGCTTTTTTTTTATGATCACCAGTTTACCACAGTGTCTACTTGATTTGTCCATTTTATATTAGTTTTATTCCTATTTACTTGTGTGTTGTGGTTTATTTATGTTTTACTTAAAAAGGGTATTCAGGGTTGTATTGTAATTCCTCAAATAAACCTGTTTTTTATTACTCTTGTATATAATTGATACTTGAAGCCATCGGTACTTGGTAAAACTCCATTATTACAGAACTGAGGAAGAAACAAAGGCAACTGTACGTTTCACAAATGCTTCATTTATTAGCGATGACCATGGTTTTGCCTTTACTGGCGAAACCATGGTTGTTATTAACTGAAGTATTTGTGAAGCGTAGAATTGTCTTTGTTTTTTTCTCAGTTCAGTTTTTATTACTCTTTTGTTTTTTGTATTAGAAAAGAATGCAAAAGAAGTTATTTAACTTTTCATACGTATCTCAGTCTAATATCTCTAGAGAGAGAGGGAGTGTGTATGTGTGTGAAAATTCTTTCATTTTGATTTGATTTCTAAAATTGATTACATGAACTGAAATTTCATGCAAGTATTAGTGTTTGATATCAATTATTTTATAACTAATTGATAAAATGAATGTATAGTTTATTACTGAGTATTTTTAATATGTTGATATAGATTGAAAATATATTAACATATTGATGATATATGGCCATGATTAACTTTTTAAAACCATTTAGGTTTAGAATAGTTCAAAAATATATTTCTGGTCATTCTATCAATTTCTGTAAATTTTTTATTTTACTTTTTCACTGTCATGAGCATGTACTTGGATACACTATATAACGTTTTTCTTATTAGCCTTGGAAAATATGATATTAATCACATGTGAATTTGGAATTTTGTACTTCCTTGAAGAAAGGGTAATCCCCTTCAAACTTCCCATAGTTTATCAGTTTCACATTTCAGATAAGTAATAAAATATTAAAACATGTATGTAAGATATAAATCTGGCATTGGGAAACTTGCTTATCTATAAATATGCAAGTGAAAGTGTCATCCAAATGTGCATGAGGTCAGTCTATTGGACCAACTTTGTATTGGAGAAGGAATATTGACTATAATTATAAATTTACTTAGGTGTATCTACACGAAATTTGACAAGCTTTTGGTAAAATCTATAAGGCTGTAGTACACAAAAAATCAGATGTGTTCCAAAAGTATTTGTACTCAAGATATGTCTGTGAATTGACAACATCAGTCTGACTCGCACCCTGACAAGTTGGAGTGCAAGGTGATGTTCATGGGAAGAATAAAAATACTTTTGTCTATCATAAAATTTCCACACTGCATCTATGACCTCCAAAATCCATATATACAGTTCTTTCAATATCCCAGTGTATTTTATTTGCTATTTACTCTCCTCTACCATGAACTGTCACTAAATCAGCAATGTAGGGTCAAATTAACAGTTTATAACTTGGACAGTAGCTACATAATATGTTGAATGGAATTCTGTAAAAGGTCATGGAATGTGCACTTTGACCCCCATCCATACACATAGGGTTAAACAGTGTAAATATTTCTTCAGTATATTAATATGTAAATGTAGACCTGAACGAATATATGTATTTATTCACTTTACAGGAGACTGAATGAACAAGAAAGTAACATCTCCCTTTCGTAACTACATGCTATTTTTTTATAATCTATTCTGTAATACTTAAACCTATTTATGTGATGAATGACTTTTCCTAACCAACAATTAGAGGAAGTAAAATTTTGAAAAAGTTTTTGATTTAGTATTTCAGCAGTAATTCAGGTGACCTGACTTTTTAAATTATTTTTTTAAACCTGCCTGCAGTGGAACTTGTTTAAACTTCGTTCTAGTCCTCCTTTTTTTTCCACTTCTGTTTGTACTTCATATTCAAAATTTTGAATTTTGCAACACCATGTACTGCCAACCAGAATTAAGACTTAAACTTTTGATTTTGTAATGAATCAGAAAGTTGTGTTAGTTTCCTTCCAGATATGTGAAATAGATTACTTCCAAAGTAGATAAATATACTGAACTTGGTTGATGTCAGTAAACACTTTTTTCATGTCGGAAAATTTGAGAAAAGAAAGAATTTGCTATAACTGATATTTTTATGATAGATAATAATATGAATTCTTAAGCTACAAAAGATACTAAAATCATTAATCTTCCTTTTGGAGAAGAAACACGATAACAAAGAAAAATTTTAATTTACTTCAGCATCTTATTTTCCAAAAACATTACAAGCTAATGATATTGAGCCATAACAACATTTTTCAAGATGTTAATTACCTTAGAAAACAAATCAAAATGCTCATTAAGGTATCATACTACTGAAAGATTGAAGTTTTATGATTATTTTATATGGAGGCATTAAAGATGCTGAAAATAGTTAAGTGTGATTAATCCATCACTACAGGCAATATGCTAAATATGTAAGTAAGAGTTTTATCTCTTGACAACAAAATAGGTAAATGAATTTGTATATGTGGCATCAGTTAGAAAATCACTATATAAGTGATATTTTTTTTTTACAGTATTGTGAATATCTGTGAAACTATCTTTTATACTTGAAGAATGCAGAATATTTTTTTCTCACTGATAATAATATTAGCTTTACAGCCAAGGTTCTTTGATGCAAGTCTGATCTTTAAACACTGGAAATTATTTTATGTTAATTCAGCCTGCAATTCTGGTCTGTAAGTAATTAAAATTCTGAACAGTCTTATCTCGATCCTGCACTGCCCTCTAGCTAAAAGTGCACCAGTCTTTTATACCCCATCAGTTTCATGCCATTTCAGAACATTTGCTGATCATGTGACTACCCTCCACCAATCATACTGCACCCTCTATACTAATGCAATTAGCTCCCTCTACTATTCTAAAGCAATCCTTACTTTCTCGATTGTCATTCTAGTGTGTTTTAACTCACTCTCCATGTAACTGCAAAATTTTTATTGTGCTTGATCACAAATTTATATCAGTTTCAACTTCAAGTTTTGACTTATTTTGTTTCATTTCCATTGTTTTTACTCGTTTGTTTATACTCGTGTATATATATATATATATATATATATATATATATATACTACT